GTCACTTACAACATGACCTAACTTAAGGACACCTCCAAGGATGAATCAGCCCATCATTCTATAGCCCTCAAAGAGCTGATATCAAAGTTTGGGACAGGCCAGTAGCTATCAATGTGACAGCAGACAGAGCAGTAACTATCAATGTGAAAGCAGAGAATAGCCTGTCCTGATGTGAAAGCCAACTTGGCCATGATGTCAAAAAGTGGTGATTGGCAATAGCAATATGTAAAGTCATGGTATTCCTTTAGCCATATCTCCACATGAACTTATAATAATTATATTTTGAGATAGGACAGTAGGTGCCATTATGAAGGCATAGGATAGCCTTTCCTAATGTGAAGACAACTTGTGCATGATGTCAAAAACTAATGCAGCAGCATTAGTAATATGTAAGTAAGATCATGTCAACCCTTCAACCTCACCCCCATAATCTGGACAGAGCCAAGAACACCATAAACTACATGTCAACTACAAACTTTTGTAGTCCCAAAAAGCGGACACTACAAAGTTTTCTAATGAAAAAGCGCACACTACAAACTTTTGTAGTCTCAAAAAGCGGACACTACTAACTTGGTAGTCTAAGTACAAGTTTTTGACTTTTGTGGTCTTTTGTAGTCTATCAGTAAACCTTGTAGTCTAAGTCCGACTTTTGTAGTCTTTTGTAGTTTATCAGTATACTTTGTAGTCTATCAGTAAACTGTGTAGTCTATGTCCGACTTTTGTGGTCTTTTGTAGTCTATCAGTAAAATTTGTAGTCTAAGTCTGACTTTTGTAGTCTTTTGTGTATCAGTAAACATTGTAGTCTATGTCTGACTTTTGTAGTTATTTGTAGTGTACTTTGTAGTCTATATCCAACTTTTGTAGTGTATCAGTAAACTTTGTAGTCTAAGTCTGACTTTTGTAGTCTATCAGTAAACCTTGTAGTCTAAGTCTGGCTATTAGTAAACTTTGTAGTCTATGTCTGACTTTTTGGTAGTTATGGTAGTCTATATCTGACTATTATAGTCTATCAGTGTCAATTTCTTTTCTAGGGCATGCATCTTCCTTTTTTGGTCATTTTTCCCACGATACAATAATTGTAGCCCTTTTTTTTTAGCTTTCCAAATATACTGAAATCATGTTGTTTGGTTTGGTTTTCATGGAGAAAAATGCAACAAAAAAAAACACAAAAAAGAAGCAACACTTTTGAAAATCTTTTACCTCATATCTTCACAATGGGAGCACTTCAGAACATAATTCAAACAGATTCGGGAAGCTATAGTGTAGGGCTACAACTTTCATTTTTGACCATTTTTGGTAATTGGTCATGTGACCAACATCCCAACATCCCATTATATGGACCCTGATAGGTAAAAACATTCTCCTCTTGGTTTTCTTCACTTTTGGTCAAACCAGGTGATGTTTCCTCTTTGGGATGGACCCTGAAATAGACCCTGAAGGCAGTGCCTGACATTCTGAGGGGGCAATGATAAATGCAGTAGGGTAGGTATGAAATAGCCCAGGCAGGGATATGAGATTGCAAAGGCAAGGATATGAAATTGCCCAGGCAGGGATATGAAATTATGCAGGAAGGGATATGAAATTGCCTAAGGCAAGAAATGAAATGAATATGAAGTAGCCCAGGCAGGGATATGAGATTGCTCAGGCAAGGATATGAAATTGCCCAGGCAGGGATATGAGACTGCCCAGGCAAGGATATGAAATTGCCCAGGCAGGGATATGAGACTGCCCAGGCAGGGATATGAAATTGTCCAGGCAGGGATATGAAATGAATATGAAGTAGCCCAGGCAAGGATATGAAAAGGCAATGAAATAAGGCTGGGTAGGCAATGAAATTAAAAGTCAGGCAAGAATGAAATAGCAATGAAACAATGCTGGGTAGACAATGAAATGGAAGGCCAGGCAGTAATGAAATTGCAATGAAGTAGTATTGAAATATGTCTCAGGACAGTTATGAAATAGTCATGAGAAGCACTGGTAAAGAAATGAAATACATTTCATAAGTTTTGCCTACTCTTCTCATTTCATAAATTCATTAGGCAGTGTGGATGTCGGTGTGCAGGCACTTGCCTGTATTTTATCATAAAAGTGGTAGCTACCACTCCCCTGCCAACACTCTCTTGTCCACCTCATCCATCAAATCCAGGAGTTTGGGGCTCCTGGTGGGCTATGTTCATCAATCACTGAGTCCCGCCACATTACCGCTGTCAAATGGCCTTGGCATTGTTCAAATCGCTACAAAGCTTTGGGGCAGATGCTGCTTACCAATCAGCGGCTGGACAAGCTCCTTCGAGCATGCGCGGATTTTGTTGAGCGTCGGATGCTTCCCCCTTCCCATTTGCCACCTCCAAAACCTACCATACCCCTCGGCGACAATGACGAGGACACTGGCATCATTGAGGAGTATGTGACTGGGAATGTTGCACTGGCAAGAACCCGAAGTAAGTTTTCTTTCAATCTCTACTACTTTGCTGTCACTAATCCATACTTTCTAGTACAAGCTTATCCACGCTGCCTTGCTGAGTTGGCCAACCACATCAGCTGCCCTCCACTCATTGAACTTACCCGATGTTTCCTCTATGACCAACTCCACACAGACGACGGCACCTCATCAGCCGACATACCCATTCAGCAATGCCCATATCCAACAAGCAAGGTGTCTGTCTTTCACTCCGCCGTCGCCACCTTCTATGCACCAAGCGATGAGTCAGGCATTCGGGGCATGCGAACTGAGCATGGACGGTCCACTCCATCTTGGCGAAAGCACAGGCCACGACACGATTGCGCGTTAGTAGTTGAGGACCAAGACAAGCCGGGCATGAGGGGGATGAGTGTGGTCTGGGTAAAACTTCTCTTTTCATTTGAGTATGATGGGAAGACATACCCATGTGCGCTCGTCGATTGGTTCAAACATGTGGGCGCGGCACCCAATTCGGAAACAGGGATGTGGAAGGTTCGACCTGAGACATACCTAGTGATTGTCACGGGTAACCCCCGGGTCTTTCTAGCCTTACCCGTACCCTTACCCACAGAAACCCGTACCCGCAGCTGCGGGTATGGGTTTTGGAGGGTATGGGTTGAGGGTTTGGCGGGTTTGGCGGGTTTGGAGGGTCTGGCGGGTTTGGCAGGACAGGTATATTTTACAAGTACTATATATTAGGTACATGTAAGTATGCAGGCCCGCACAGCTACAATGGTCATCATCACGTCTCGAGTGAACCACCATCAACAAGCGCTCCCTCTCCAAATCCCTCGAATAACCCTTATCCCACTGTAATGATAATGGTCGGTGTCGTCGTTCCACGGCGTCCTTGTCCCATCGTTGTACTGTGTCCTCGTCGTCGCATCTTCGCCGAGTTGTTTGTGACTCTTCATCGGGTCGTAGTTGTCCCGTGTCCTCATCGTCGTCGTCCCACGTCGCTGTTCCGCCGTCATCCTGTGTCTCAGCGAAGTGAGTGGGGACGAACGTGGGAGGGGGGGTACTCACCATATCCTCGTAGTGTTGTCGTCCCGTGTCCTTGTACTGTGTGCTCCTCATCGCGACGTTGTCCTCCCACGTTGTCGTTCCGTCATTGTCCTGTGTCTCAGTGAGGTAGGTTCGGATGAACGTGGGATGGGGGATACTCACTGTGCAGTCCTAGAGTAAACAACGACGAACGTTGTTCGTCGTTTGGTTGCCACGACGTGGCACATTGTCGTTGCCTCTCGGCATGTGCCCTGGTCTGCTCGTTGTCGTGTGCACCGTTTGTGTTGTCACTCCACGTTGTTGTGCCGTTTTGTTGCTGTCGGGTCGTAGACGTCGTGATGTGTCGTCGTTGTCAAATCATTGTCGTGCCGTATCGTCGTCTGGTCTTCCTGTGTCTTCTTCATTGTGTTGTCGTTGTCCTGTGTCTCAGCAAGGTGAGTTGGAGAAGTGTGGGATGGGGGTTACTTACCACGTGGTAAGGGGAGTTGACGGACAGGCGTTGGGTGCAAAACGGGGGGCCAGCCTTGCCCTGTGATAGGGTGTGGCGAACGGCGGCTTTGGCTTCTGCAAGGGATGCGGCAGTAGGCGGGATACATGCCTGCCTTTTGTGCTCATCCCGAGCAGTTGCCAGACATGGAGTAGTTAGTAATTAGAAAATAAGAGCGTACCACTCTGTTTTCATGCCATGCCATCTTGTAGCCGTGCTGTTAATGTGCCGCTTCATTGTCGTCACCTCGCATCGATCTGGTGGGTGCTTGTCGGCTGGTGACGTGGCATTGTAGTGTTGGTCTTGTGGTAATGGGCCGTGCCAGGGTGGTTGGCGAGGGTAGTTGTTGTCACTGGCAAGGGTGGTCGTCATTGGTGAAAGTGGTGGTGGGTGGGCATCGTGGTGGTTCCGTGTTGTGGGCTGCTGTTGATGCGCGTCAACGTTTGTCGGCAAACGCCGACGTCTGATTTGGGTGCGGGTATAACTACGGGTACCCGCCAACCCGCGCTGAGGGTACGGGTACAGCGAGGGTCAGATAAATCCAACCCGTACCCGTACCCTCACATACCCTTACCCGCAACCCGTACGGGTCACGAAACCCGTGACAATCACTAGACATACCGGAATGGTCAACATATTGTTTCCATTCTCCACCTTGACACTTTCCTTCATAGTGCAAACCTCTTACCTGTTTTTGGGCAGGATGTTCTTCCGTTTGACTTCCATTTTTCTTATTCACTTGATGCGTTTGAATCATACTTTGTCAATAAGTATGCTGATCACCATGCTCATGAAATTTGCTTTTAACATGTAGTACCACATTGTAATAAAACTTGTTTAGCTTGCAGTAGTTACCTTGAATTGAGGTCTTGGCTGAATTGGGGTTTTTTGGAAAATTTTGGTCTGGGTTGGGATTGAACTTGGAATGCTTGGCCGATTTTTCTGTGTTTCGCAAGCAGCTCAAATGCGCCAACTGTCACAAGCACCACCAAACAATGTGCTATCTTGCTGATGTATAGTAGATTGTAAATGAGCCTTAGATTATAAGAAACAATGGAAATTTGACTGACCTAGTGTACTTGCCCCCCCAAACAGAAAATGCAACATATCTCTGGAACGCAGACACGCAAACCTCTCATCTCTTTGGGACCTTCAAACGACACTAGAATACGTTGTAAACGAGCCCTCAATGATAAAAAAAGGTAAAGAATTGACCGAGATAGAGCTTAACCCCCCCAAAACCAGAAAATATGGAATATCTTGAGAGCGTGGACACGGAAACCTCTCGTCTTTTCGGGACCTTCAAACAACACTATAGTAGATTGTAAACGAGCCTTAGATCATAAGAAACGATGGAAATTTGACCGACCTAGTGTACTTGCCCCCCCAAACAGAAAATGCAACATATCTCCGGAACGCAGACATGCGAACCTCTCGTCTTTTTGGGACCTTCAAACGACACTAGAATACGTTGTAAACGAGCCTTTAACGAAGGAGAATGATGGAGAACTCATGAAGATAGAGTACACCCTCCTGCTGAAACTTAGCATGACAGATCTCTCAAAAATATGATGGCAGATGCCTCTTGTCTCTTCAGGCCCTAAAATTGACAGCAAATAGCTGGTAATCAACACTGATTTGGTGGAAAATGGTACAGAACTCACCGAGATACAATATAGCATCATGGTGTCTATCCAGCACCCATTACATGTTTCTTAGGGCTATTAGTGGGCTATTCACGTGCCCATTCTTAAGTTATACTATGCTGAACTCATT